AGGATATGCTGGTGTCTGCTGGTGTTCTGCGACTGCCCAGAGCAGCTCAGCATCCCATCACGGCCCTGCGTTAGTGACAGGAGGGCTTGACTGCTGCAGCTCAGCATCCTGTCACGGCCCTGCGTTAGTGACAGGAGGGCTGAGTGCTCCTGAGTTCTTGGCCTGTAAAGCCCCTTCTGTTTATCAGAAGGGGAATGGTAAGAGGAAACTGTCTCATTCCAAACACAGACAGAGATGAGAGCCCCTCCCCTGCTCTTCTGCAAAAATTTTTCCCTTGTAGAATAAATCAGCTTTTTCTATTGGTGTATGTCACTAGTATGGCTGATGTATCCTCCACTGGGGAGGCAGCTGGGTACACTCATCTTTTCCCTTTCTTGGTAGGTAACTGGAAGAGCCAATTGCCTTGCAGTGTCTGGAAATTACATCTTTGTTGGTCTGTCCGTGGGTCTGGCTGCCTTCAAGATGTCTGACTGTAAGGAGGCCTGCGCTTGGGACGAAGCTGAGATGGAGATTTGTGCCATCCATGCCTGGGATTTGGGGAATGAGTGCCATGTCCTGTTTGCTGTGGATGAAATGGGTTAGTGTGACGTGGGTTTCCTTGTCCTAGCAAGGGATGGCTGGGCTCTGGAGTCAAAGAGTTGGCAGCTGCATTATGGAAGAATGCTAAGTCAGGAGGAACATCAGAATGGCTGACAGGTTTCCTAGAAAGCCCTGCAAAGAGGGCGTTAGGTTATAGGATGACAGAGTGGCCCTGGAACCTTGTGATTAGTGGAGGGTGTGGGTTCAGTGTCCTCTCCGGAGCAGCAGAGGCAGGTGCAGAGCTGTGAAGAGACAGTGAAGTGCTGTAGATTTTAGGAACACCTTGGACCAGACAGAAAGAACCATTGCTAGGTACGACCTCCTGCTCGTGCGTGTGCTATCTTTCAGCACCTGTACGTCCACAGCCCGGTGGTAAATAGGTTAGTTTGTTGATAAATCTGAAACCTACCAACTCCAGCAGAGACACTTTTCAAACTGACTTATCCATCTCTATGTACAATCAAGGGTTTGCTGGTGCTGGCATAAAGAAGCCAGCAAAAGTTTAGTACTGAAAGCAGTGGGATATTCTTCCTTGAGCCCAGGACAGAATGCAGTCCTGTTCACCCTCCTGCACATGGAGTAACAGCCATCCTACCGTTACTTTTGTATTTCTGTTCCAGGGCTCCTCTGGATCTTCCGCTTTCACAAGGAAAGCTTCCTACTCATTAAAATCCTAAATGAAGTGGTAAGTACTGAGTTAATTCTATAGACAGGGGACACAGGCTGATAAGTAATCAATCATGAGGGGTACTAATTACCCTCAGGGATTTCTGAGCTCTCCAAGAGTGCTGCCCAATATTTATTCCTGTTCTTTCAACAATCTGTCTGGCCTTCACCCCGGAGGGTGTAAGGCCACGGAGCCCTTTGAATCAGTGATCTTGCTTTGATGCCAACCTGTTTTTCTTTGTCAGGAGGATATCAGCAAGCGAAGCACTTGTGTGGAGGTGGTGCTGTCCCTGGCAGGTGATTATGCGGGAGTCCTGCTGCAAGGCAAGTGCAGGAACATGGTGTGTTGGGTGATGGCTGTTGTGTTTTAGAAGGGCCAGCAGCAATGCTTTTAAAATGCCCCCAGTGCTCTGTCCCTGTCAGGAACAGTGATCCTGTTCCTAACCCTCCCAGTTCCTCCTCCAGTTTAGAGAGCTGCTCCTGCAGCCCCCGTCCTCTCCAAAAGACCTGGTGTGGGTCAGGGCTGATCTCCAAAGTGAGCTGAATGGAACTGGTCACTCCAGTTCCCAGCTCCCAGATGGCTCAGTGGAATCAGGTTTCCCTCTCTTCTCCAGAAGTACCCAACTCAGTTCTTACTCTGGTTTGCTATGCCTCACTTTTACACTGGAAAGATGTAGACCTGAAGAATCTTCTCTGCAGCCATAGGCCAGACAGCACAGAGACAGTCTCTAAAAACACTACAACAAACTCCTTGCTGCAGCATTCTTCTGTTTCATGGCAGCTGCCTCTGTCAACCCATTTGCTGCTAGCAGGTTTTCTGGAGCCACATTTGGTGGAATCTGCCTGGACATATGCTGAGAATGAGACATGTGGCATCCACAGAGAACCAGTGTGAGACCACATCTCACTTTCTACTTTACCTCTGAGTCTACAGGTCAAATTCTTTGACTGAGTCTCTTCATGGAGTTTCTTCAGGGGATGTGGGACCTTGAGGACTTGAGCTGTATGTAGGCTGAGATGTCAGTCTCAGTCAAGCATGTCAAGCCTTAAGTGGGAGGAGAGGTGGACTGCAAGGAATTCACAGGGATTTTACATTTCAAAAAAAATCAGAATCTTGTTTTAAGTATATAAGATAACAGAGGCTGCTTGCTTGAAAGACCTTTTCTCCTCATTTCCAATTGCTCAACATGGTTTCCCAATGCAGACAGCACAAAGCTTGGCTGGAGATCTGCCGATTGCCCAAGGATTCCTGGCTGAAGGAGATGGAAAAGAACCCAGGAGCTGCAGCAGGGCTGGCTTGCAGGGAGAGGAGTTCAAGCTGGATATCTGTGGTACAAAACAGTTCCATCATGCTATTTTTATTTCCACCCTTTTGCCTACCGGTCTTTCCCCAAGTCTTGCTCCTGCAGACAGTAACAGCAAGATACAGGCTGAACAAGTCTGTTTGTTCAGGGGGATGGAGTATATGTCTCCACAGCTGCTACAGCTGCCCATCCCATATTTCACAAGGCCCTTTTGTTATTGGGACATGTTTACTCTCCCAAGACAGGCTTTCCAACAAGGTTCCCTTGGTCCCAGGGCC